AGCCAAATACCAGCGGAATCTATATCTACACTGTGATCACACCAGGTACAATTTTGAATACACAAATACAAGCCTGGCAAGTTCAGGACACCAAAATGAGCATATTGAAAATAGTTATGTCAAAGTCATGGATTGGCTAATTTTTCTTTTTTCCAAATTGCTGTTTCAACTGGCAAGAAAACACCTTTTGCAGAAAAATTAAGTTTGATAGCACAGGAAAATGTTTACTTAGTATTAATGAATAAAAATGCCTATTATAAGAGACATATGTAGACATAGAGCTAGATGAAAAAAAATTTTAAAGACTGGATGGACCTATGTAGAAAAAGTACCAGCAATGTCTCGAAGTTGTGGATAATAGATGATCTTTTTCTCTCTAAACTTTTTACAAAGACTGTCTCTTTTGAGAATTTAAATACCAGTAGAAGATAGATGATAGATAGACAGATATGGATAGATGGATGGGTCAGGTGGGTGGATAAATGGATGGATGGATGGATGGATGGATGGATGGATGAATGGATGAATGGATGGACAGAAGGATAGATTAAAAAGATGATAGGTGATAGATAAATAGATCGATAATAGATAAATATATCTCTTTTCTCCCTTCCTCCCTCTCTTCTCCCTCCCCCCTCTCTTCCTTCCAAATCCCTTTCACTGGGAGGAAATCAAGAGCATAATTTTCAAAAGGAAAACAGGCAGTTACAAATGTTAAAAACCTCAACTCTATTCAGCTGCTCTAGGATGGGATGGGAGAGGAGATTGTCTTGCTGTACGCTTGTGCCCATTCCTGACCTGTTTACTACAGGCTACAGTCTAGCAGGTGAGAGTGAATAGCCACAGATGCATCACATCCAGCCGGAACCCTGAGAACTAGACACACAAAAAGGCTCTAGGGTGTTGGTGTCCAGAGATGTGGGCAGGGGAAATAGGGACCCAGGAGGTTTTAGGTCTATATCACCAAGATGAACTGGAATACCTCAGATGTTTATTTATTTATTCATTCATGTTACTGTTGAGCAGCTACTATGTGTCTGTCCTGCTGGGGAAGATGCATATAGGTAGATGATTCCACTGCCAAGCACTAAGTGCTGTTACCAAGGTCTGCTCAAGACCCCTGGGAGCTCAGGGACAACAGTAACTGGCCCCTCTGCCAGGCAGAGTAGGGGACATGAAAGCTGGATTTGGATGGTGTGTGGGATGTCACCAGACAGGTGATGGGAGTGAGGGTCTCCCCCGTAGGGGAAGAGCAGTGGGATAAACATGGAAGTATGGGAAAGGAAAACATTTCAGAGAACAATAGGTCTTTTGTGCAGTAGGTATCCAATGGTGGGTAGGGGGATGCTGCGCAAGGCTTCTGGAAAGAGGAAGAAGGTTAGCCATAGGGGCACTCACATGGGGCCAAGCCAGGTGTTGTGGGTCCTGAAGCTCAAACAGTTGGGAAGGCGGGGCCGGGGGCCTGGCATATGAATACATCACGGGGGCTAATAAGTGAGAAGCCCAGAAGCAGGAACCTCATTGCATTCACATGACCCCACTTCTGTGCTCACCCTGGGTGCCCTGGGCGATGAGCAGATACTGAAGGATCTTAAGGAAGAATGAAATAGTCACATCTACATTTGAGAAAAAAAAAAAAGGCCAACCCCATCAATTCTCATTAGCCAAAGCAAAAGGTGCTCTTGTCACTGAGGACAGGTGGGTTCTCAGAACGGGCAGCTAAAACTCCAAAATACTCCCGGCTTCTGGACATAACTGTTTCACTCACGGCCGAGCAGAAGTGAAAGAGTAGCCTTGTCGCCGGCCTGTTTCCTGCTCTCCCAGAGGCAGGGACAACGCCCCTACCCCCACAGTACGTACTGGAAAGAAAAATGCCCGTTTGGCAGTGCCGAGGGCCCATGTCCTGTGCAGACACTGCCTGACGCATCCTCTGGACAGCTGATGACCCTGGAGACTGCCACTGCTAGCCAGCCACGGTTGGTGGGCCTGGATGGCAGTGAATTCGGGGTTCATCTGACTCTGACCCTGTAATTTCCTCTTAGCTCATTCTTTCTTTCCCCGGGGCTGTGATAGGCATGAATTGGACTGCACGTTGTTCCATGCCATGGTGAAGCGCTAAAAGAGGCATGAAACCTCTAGGCTGTTCAACTGACGCTGCCAATAAATGTATCTGGGATGAAGTGTGGGAACTCCAGCCTCCCCTAACTGAGTGGGGTGAGCTACACTGCCCCACCTCCCACCCTGGGCCTTTGTGTCCCTGGCTGCACAGTGGGGTGGATGGATGACAGGGCCCCACCTGGGATCGTGAGTAAGGATTAGCCCATAAAACTTGCCATAAATTTCCCTACATCTATAAAGTGCTATTAAAGTAATGACTGTAGATTATGATCAGAATTGAAGGCTGAACATATGCCCATTTGGGCCCTCCCGGAACCCACTCCTTAGCCCTGGGAGAAGACAAGGCTACCCTTGACTTGAACAAGGAACAACTGCTCCCCCACAGAGAGAAGCCAGGCACGGTGACCTGCAAGGGGACTGAGGAATCATCAGCTTTTTCCAGGCACTTTTTGGCTGGGATTTTAATCCTAAACCTCACAAGATGTTACACCCTTTAATTACCAATCCAGGCGCTTCCCTCCCTTCTCCACAACATTCCACCGGGTTTTGAAAGCCTGCGATGTCTTGTTATACCACATCAATAAATGCATAGTAAAGAGAGAAAGCTAGGTATTTTTCTAGGTTATTTCAAAGAAGGAAAAAAACATGGCAGCCTTAAGGAAGCAATTGGGCAGAACTTACGTCCTATCTTGAGAGCGCCTGATAATCACCTCATTCCACTCTACAAGTGTGAAGTCATCCTGAGGAGAAAATTGTTCTGCAGGTAGGTTATGAACTGGTCTTTTCTTTCAATATTCATGATAACAACACTGTTTCTAATGTGTCAAATTAGGCTTTATCTCTTTACCATAATTCATAAAATAAACCAACCCTACAAGATAACTTTCTAAAATAAAAAAATTGATGTAGAAAATATTTTGACCAGTACTATAAAGGAGAACTGGGCATAATATCTATGCCTCCCTGGAAAACCTTTTCTGTTTGCAAAACTATAATTCAAATGATAGAATGGTCATGGTACAAAAACATTTATTTAAATTAAATATTTTAGACAGATCAATATCTACAACCGTTCCAAAGCATGTGTATCTCTTACAAAAAAAAAAAAATGGAACAGTTTAGCTTAATGTCTGTGATAATGTTTTACAAGATTATTAATATACATTTTGGGCTGCACCAGTCAATCATACTGTCAATGATTTACCATTTATTACCAAATGTCGCATACAGAAATAGCATAAAGATTAATTATATCTTATAAGTAATTTTATAGTAGGACGCCTTGGAAGGAAAAAAAGGATCTCTCAACAATATAAAATATAAGCTAAAAATAGGAGAATATATAAAACACTTACATATTTCATACAGGCAATAATATGCTGCATTTAAAAGACAAACAACTGTCTTTTCCCTCATTGCTAGGTATGTTCCCTCAAAGGAGGTTTGTGAGAAGGATGGAAATGTTTTTGGGGTGGGGTCAGGGCTCAGAAACATTTTCTGAATCACAGTGCGTTTCTGTTCTTTGGGAAGTCAGTATAGGGAGGGGAAGTTGTTTTGAAGTGTTAGCTGAAGATGTTCCCAAGAACCAGCTGTCTGGTGAGGACAGTGAATTCCTATCTCAGCCATAGGAATCATGTGTAGGATTTTTAAACCAGGGGATCTTCGAATTCATGGGCAACTCAGGGGTGGAGGAAGAACAGAGAAGAAGAGAAAAAGAAATCCCAGGAAAGGAAGAAGGGGAGTCAGAGACAGGGAGAAGGAAGCTCCTTTTGCACCCGCAGAGGGGAGAGTATGCTGAAATTTTGCTCAAGAAATGAACATATTCAGATGGGAGGTAAATGACGTTGCGGTGTAGAAATTCTTTTTAGGTTCCCCGCTCTTGGGGTCATTCGGAACAGGGAGTTGACAAGAAACTGCCAACATCTACCAGAGTATCTGATTTAGGCTATACAGACATGCACTGAAGGATGAGTGGGAAGGTGTTTGTGTTGTGCATGTCTCACACACGCTGACTGTATAGATTCAGGCTCTGTATATTCTCTTGAAACGTGTGTGATAAAAAAAAATAATTTATCTTAAAAACTGGGTTTAAAAACCAGTGGCTTGAATTCAGTCACATTCAGTGATGCAGTCAACCCTAGTGGTTAATTTCCCAAATCAAGAGAAATGCTGTTTCTCAAATTGGAAGAGTACTTTTGAAAGACCACGATCATTTGGGAAGGCAATGCCAGTGCAGAAAGCCATGTGTTCTTGGGCTGCGCACCCGGAATTATCACCACGTTGGACGTTAATGAATTTTACTAAGACAAATTTTTGTTTTCTTTTTAATTAGCCTTGAAAGAATCCTAGGTCAGAAAAATCTGGAGCAGAAGGGGCCTTAGATGTCAAGTGTGTCCCCCACTTTACAGATTGGGGGAGGGGCTGGAAGGGGAAGAGAGCCGAGTGCGGGCCCCTCCAGCCCTCCGAGGCAGAACTGGGACCGGACCCGGGGTCCTCTGGGTCCCAGCCCAGGGCTCTTCTCACCTGGGGGACCCAAAGATCAGGACGGCTGTACCCCATGCGTCTGGGACAGAAGCTGGAGAGGTGTGAATGCCGCTGAGATTTTCACACATTGGTTTCCGTGATGGGGACCGGGAGAAGTAAATGAAAATCTGCCGGTAAACCATCTTTCGGCAACTACCTTGCCTTATTCCCAGGGTGTAGCCAATGAGAACCCATTTGAAGGAATATACTCAAAATGTAGGCGGCAGGGAGCAAAGGGGCACTCAGACCAGCAGAGCCCCGTTCTGCCCCGCGGACAGTTCAGACCTGCACACCCCCGGCGGTCGGAGAAAAGCCGGTAGCACTGCGCGGTCGCCTCTCTGCTCAGCCCGCGGGAAGGAGAGGGCTGCGGCGACGCAGGGCTGGGCTGGCTGCCTCCGACTCTATGATACGCTGTAGCTGTTGTAGTACGTGGCTGTGGCATCAGCCAGCACGGAGATAAGGCTGGTCTCTGTGGGGCCTGTTGATGTCACCTGGGAGACCGGGGCATGCCCACTGAGGGCCACAGCCCCTGCAGCAGAGTCTGGGTGGCCAGGAGTGTTCAAATACTGGTCGAACTCATTGCGATCCATGTCCCCCAGGAGTTCCACCTGGCTCAGCTGATCCAGGGCATCAAAGCCGGGGTGTTCGGGAGGGGGGGAGAGTTGGCCCAGGTGGGCGTGGAGGTTGGAGTGGAGAGGGTGGTAGGTGGCAGGGGAGTAATAGGCAGGAGACGGGGGACAGGCAGGGACAGTGGACATCATAGAGACGCCCGGGGACTGGCCGAGGGCCAGGGAGCCCAGGGGATGGCCGCAGTGGAGGGGGCTGGGGGCGTACTCCGGGGAGTAAGTGGGCCCCGGCAGGTGGGAGATGCGGCGGGAGTGCGCATGCTCCTCCTGGCAAGGGGAGGAGAAGAAGGTCTGCTCCGGCTCCAGCACGTCCAGGGGCGACATTTCCGGGGGCGTGGGCAGCCCGTACGGGTAAGTGTCCACGCTGCCTGGGGTGCCGCCGCCGCCAGTTGGCCCCTCGTGGTAGCAGCCCGGCAGGCTGGGCAGGGCGGAGCCCGGGGAGTACTCACCCCTGTCCTCCTTCTCCCCCAGCGCCCCGCGGCCGCCGCTCCGCTTCTCGGGCAGAGCGTTCTGGTCCCGGGAAAGGGAGCTCAGGAGGAAGCCCGGGTCCACGCGCTTGCAGAGGCGCTTGGCCTGCTTCTTCCTGCGAGGCCGGTACTTGTAGTTGGGGTAGTCCTGCATGTGCTGCAGGCGCAGCCGCTCCGCCTCGTCCACGTAGGGCCTCTTCTGGGACAGCGTCAGCGCCTTCCACGACTTTCCTGCTCACACAAGTCAGAGAAGGCCACTTTCAGCATCTGCGCGGCTTGGGGAGGCCGGTGCACCTGTCTCAGACGCTCGTGCCTCCCAGCGTCCATACTCGCACACGCCGTCCGCCTCCATCCCCCATCCCACATCCCACCCGCGGTTACCCGCCCTCTCCACAAAGGACACCGCACTTTTCGCACCCGCTCCCAGCCCAGATCTCGGCACTGTGAGGCCAAACCAATCTCTCCCGCTTGCATCCCACAAAACTACTAACGCCAACTACGCGCAGGATCACTTCACCTCTCCTATAAAAGCCGTTAGATAACGCAAACGTGTAAACAATGCGGGATTCACAGTGAAAGGCCCACCGGACCCAATGTCAGATACACGATAAAAATATATAACGACCACACTGATCTGGGCTCTTTTTTACCCTAAGTGGACCAAGTCTAATCATTTGTGCATTTTAATGAAAACTCTCTGCCTTTGCTGATCACCGCTGCCTCTCAGCAAGTGATGCTGTATTTATGGCATAAATCCCACAGGCCTTCTTGTGAGGGAACTCAGGCTCAGTGCGTCATTTCACAGATGTAAGTAAATTACAGGATCTCACTTAGGGGAACAGACAGTTATCCCTCACATCTGAAGGTCAGTTAGGACCCTGCCATGTGAAGCCCATTGCCAGAACGCTCGCCTCTGCCTGCAACATGCACAGGCGCACGAACACACATGCGTGCACACGCACACAGGTGCGCAAGCACACACACACTCACGATAAGACTTCCTGCTCTCTACTTAATCAGTACCCTGTGACTGTGGCAGGGGGCAGTTGCTCGGTCACTGACTCTTCTTACAGAAGCAAATTCTTTGACTTCCCTGGGTCTCTTCTTTTCCTCACTATAAAAGGTGATACTATCCAATTCAAAACTCTCTTTAAGAAGCATCCCACGCTTGTGGCCCACTGGTGCTAAAGTGCTGTTTTCACTTGAATTTTCTATTCATCCTTATTCCCTTCTGTGTTGTTTTGTAAATTGCTTTAGCATCTCTCTCTCATCTGTCAGTACACTCATTGCACATCCCACTGGCTGCTGGTTTTCTGAAGGTCATTTCTGGACCCTTACCTCCCTGGGTGAACTTGGGATTCTGCAACTTTGGAAGTCCCCCCCCCACCCCCCCGCCACACACACACCCGACTCTAATGTATCCTGAAGTTACCAATCCTACTAGCTTGGAGGTATGCACCCCCGTCCCCACGCTCTGTAAGGAAAGGGGCCACATGTCCCACCCAGAACCCTTGGCACAGGGCCCAGTACAGAGCTATGTGTCCTGCCACCTCGGTACCTGCACTGGCCGAATCTGCATGCCTGGCCCTCAGAGGTCACTGGAGGAGGGCGATTATTAAAGGGCGCACTACCATTGGGATGAAAGTTTACAACTATTGTGACAGAGTCATCAATTAATATAATTTAGCTGTCACTTAAAAGGGCAACTCGAAATGTGTCAGGAACTCTGGGTTTGGAGTTCGTCAGCAGTCCCTGTGGCTGAGACTGCAAAATTGTTGCAAGAGGCCCAAGATCCTGGTACACCCCACACCCTGTCTGTGGACTGAATATAAAATGTGACTCTAGTTTCTAAGTGTACATGGATGTCATAGTATTAATAAAATAGTCATTTTAAATGCCATTAAATGTATTAACTGTCTTTATGTGCCTTCTTATTCATAGTATCCTAAAAATAGTAGTGCTACTAGGTGAAGTTTTTGATGTTAAAGATTGGAAAGCTTAGAGGCAAAAAAGTTGCCTAGGTTAGAAAGGAAAGGGCTGGGCAAGATCATGGGGTGGACATGGATCATCCTGCTGCACCCCTATTAACAGGTGTAGAAAGTCCATATTTTTAAAAACCCCTACCCTAGGGCCAGGGGCTATGTGGTTAAGCAGGAAGTAATCAGTGTCTTCCCTGCAAAATGAATTATAACCTCTGGAAGCCTAAGTGCAAATCGCCAACAGGGATCAGCTCACAAGAGGCATCTGTCAGGTAGGTCCTTTTGACTGCCCGTCCCCTGGGAAGCAGGCAGCCTCAGTCCCAAAAGGCTTCCTGGCCTGAGCTCCTCTCTCATCTCTGGCCTGGGCCTGCAATGGAAACCTCACTCTCTCCTGGTCACAGGAGCTGCCCTTGAGCAAAAGGCACAGTGCCTGGGCCTACCAAAAAAAAAAAATGTTGAGGGGCCCACACAAAAAAAAAAGGTATTTTCGTTTCTTCAAAAACCTGAAGAAAAAAATGAACTTTCAGGTAAATGCTTTACTGTTGTATATATTAATATATTTGTCTTTATGCCCACACAGTATGAAATATAATTTTTAATATTTTTTATGAAGAAAGGGGCTCACTAAGACATTGACCTACCAGTGTGTCCTGGGCATATCTAGCCAGGGGACTGGGCCATGGGTAGGAGACTTTTTGAAACCAGCAGCTTTGAAAGGGCATCTACACTGCAGGAAGAACCCTCTCTGCGGGCCTGTAGGTTTAGCTAGCAGAAAGGTGGGTGACAGCCCTCACTCCATGGTTTGGAGCTCAGGAGGGAAAAAGAAAAAGGCTCAGTTCGGGGGGCGGGGTGCAGTTGGGGAGGGTCAGGCCAACCTCAGGTGACCACATAATTTCCCTTGTCCCACTGTGCCGACAAAATGCTTCAAAAGGTCCCACAACTTAAAATGAATAAAACCTCCATGGAAGGGCAAAAAGGTTAGGAGTAGAGCGGAGTTGAAAGTACTCAGCTCCAGACGCGGGAAAGAAGAAACCCCAACGAAAACCGACTCCAACTCTAAATTTTCAGACGTGCCCTAAATCCTTTCTCTGGGGCCCTCTGGTCTGGCTCGTCCCTGTCCCCAGGCCCGCTGTCCCTGCTGGGACTGCGTAGCAGCACTTGGAAAGTGACAGGCTCCAGGACAGACCTCACTGGCCACCCTGAGCATCCCAATCACAGTATCTACACTCACTCCTGAGATTGAGAAATACATTATCGAATCGAGCCTATTTGCGTACTTTTTGCTGTAGGTTTAATAAAGTTAAAGAAGGGATGCGTTCCCGCAAAGTCTCTCTTGACGAATATTCCTTAATAATATTTACAACCTCCTTCTGTGAGCGTGCCAGTGGCAAAGTTCAGGGAATGGTGTGTTTCCCGCTTCGGTATTCCTAGCAAACACCGGTTCCACCCAGCCTCTGCGTTTCCGTCCTGACTTGTGTGCGCGCAGGTCCCGGTCGCCGGGCAACCGGGGCCTAGCCGCTGTCGGCCCCGCCTGTCCCCTGGGACCCCAAACTCCGCTCCTGTTCCCGCGAGTGGGCTTCCTGGCCGGCCGCAGCGGGCCGCGCGGTTTCACTTTGGGCCTCGTCGAGGTGTCCCTGCTCTGAATCCCTGTCACTGCGCGCATACCCACGCTCGCACAGATGCCCAGCCTCGCTGGCACAGCGAACGCTAGCGCTCCCCGAGCATACCCACACGCCGGGTCCTACCCAGGCTCCCGCGCCCTCGCAGGACCCCCACCCCCGGTCCCTAGCCGCGAGCCCCGGGGGCCCGCCTCCGCCCGCGCCCCGGTCCCGCCGACCTCCCGGGGCGCCCCGCCCGCTCGCTCACTTACTCACCCAGCATCTTGCTGAGCTCGGCGTTGTGCAGGTCCGGGTTCTGCACCGCCAGACGTTTCCTCTCGTCCTTGGCCCATACCATGAAGGCGTTCATGGGCCGCCGGATACGGCTCTCCGAGCCCTTGTCCCCCGGCCCGCGGGGGGCGGCCGGCGGCGACAGCCCATCCGACAGCTCGGCTTCCAGGGCCGGGCACTCGAGCCCGTCGGGCCACGGATAAGCTCCCAACAGCGTGGCCATGGCCGCACGGGGGTCCCCTCGCTTCGCCTCGCAGGGCAGGCGCTAACCCGGCCCTCGCACGGGTCGGGCGTCCAACTTGGCTGGCAGCCGCGGCCCGTCCCTTTATTTATCAGCTTCGGGCGGCCGCGTCCTCCAATGACTCTCGAAGGCGGCGCGGCCCCTCCCTCCTTTTCGGCGCGGGCCCACTCCCTGCGTCCTGGGCCACCGCGTCCCCGCTCCGACCTGCCAGGAGGGGGAGAGTGGAGGGAGGGCCACTTCCCCGTGCCCGCCCCGGCCCGCTCTCTGCCTCCCAGTCCCTCCCGGGAATCCGCGCCTGGCCGCCTCCGGTCCCGCCCGCTCTGGGTGCAGGTGTCGCAGAGCCCGGAGGCGGGCGCCGCCCGCAGTCCCCTCGCCCCGGAGCGGGAGCCAGACTCCAGTGCCCTGTCCCGACTGGCCGTGGCCTCTCCTAGCCCCACTCCACCAGCTCCTCCCGCGCCTGGAATCCCCTGGAGAACCGAAGCCAAACAGGTTTCGCTAGGCCTGGCCGGGCGCGATAGACACTGGTCTGACCATGAATCCCCCCAGAGCAGCGTGTGAACCGTTCTGAAGAGAACATTCCTACTCTTTTTCTCAAGTGACCTGGGCTCCAACAATCTCGCTCCCAGCCAACTTTGGCGGCCAGAGACTGGCAAGGACAAGGAATGCACTCCGGATGGGGTTCTATGCAGTGCTCACCGAGCCCCTACTCCCCACCCCCGACGCCCCCGCAACTCCCAGGCTGTCTTGAGGGCTTGACTGCATTCTCAGTTCTCCTTTATTCACTCTGCCATCTGATTTCTCTCCTCTAATACCCTTATCTCCACACCGCACTTGTCTCCGAAGTCCGTGGGGTCTCCAGCTCCCTGTCTCTAGCTCTTCTCTCAGGGAATTTCCTTCTGGTTGTATTTTCTCTTGTGTCCGTCCTGCTGTCCTGCTCCTCGAAGTAGAGTTGCTCCAGCCCTCCCCTCCCGCGTTCCCATACGCCTTTCTGACTCCCCAGGTTAGAGCGCGGCAGGTTCTGGGCCCGCGCTCAACTCGGAGGGCTGAGAGCTGGGAGCTGAGGGCAGTCTCTCCAAGATGCCAGCCCTCTGCCTCCAGGAGAGCTCACGCGATCCCCTGCTTCCTGTGAGTAGGGCTGTCCTCCTGGCTCTTACGGCATCGGCACACAGTAGGCCCTCAAGAACTGCTGAATAAGTGAATGAATAAGTGAGTGAGTAAATAAGGCTTAGACACACCCTACTGTATAAAACACAGCAATCATAAGGCTTGGTTAGATCCTGGAATTCAATCTACAAATATTTACTGAGCGCCATCCCTATTCAGGGCTTAGTAGAAGTGACCCTGAAAGGAGGTAGCATTGTGGGAGGACCCTCCTGGGGTCTGGAGTCAGGACCTGTCTTCAGTGTTTGATTACTTAATGTGTGACTCTGGGCAAGTCAGGTATCTCTCTAGGCCTTTTTACCTAAACCTAAAAGGAGGACAATGATAAGACTTAATCTCACAGGGCTGTTGTGAAGATTTGGTGAGATATGTTAAAGCTTAAACTCTGTATGATGCTTGATGTTAATACAACTCTAGATGTAACGCCCTGTAAATTCTAAGACCAAATTTCAATGTCCTAGTGTGCACTGAGTTCATAAGTGCCTTGTATGCAACATGTGCTCCCAGAAAGGCCCCACAGACCCCAAGGCAAGTGGATGGAGAAATGCAACTTCTCTGTTTTTAAGTCCCAATTTTAACCTATAGAACCCCGGATAATTTTCATCCCGGAATGGGCTTTACTCATAAAATAGATTGCTCAGTTTTCCTCTCCTTTCCCGGCAGGATCCAGCAGCAGCACCCTACACCCATGCGCTCCACATGCTACCCTCACAGGCCAGAGCTGATCAGCAAAAGGAGAAGGTGCTGGCTGGAAAGTGGGTGTCCCGCAGCCGGGAGAGCATCCTGAAACCCGAGGTGGAGCAGAGGGGCTGGCTGGCGCCAAGGACAGAGCGGGGAGCGGGTTGAACGGGGGGAGGGGAAGACGGAGGAGGGGAAGCAGAGAGAATGTTTCCACAGTCTAGGCGGACCCCGGGAAGCCTAGGCCATTTCCTATGTTGGACCCCTCTGCCAGAAATTTCCTCAAGAAAAATCCCTAGGCCGGGGTACTCTAGGAACCGCGGGGCGCTAGGGCCGCGCCAAGGCGCGGGAGGGCACCTCGTTGGGGTAAGGAAGGAAGGATAAGGGACTTCAACCGGCGGTTCAGGAGGGGGACCTGCGCTGCAGCCGTGGATCCCTGGACCCCTCCTAAGCCCACCGCCGCTGCAGGGCACAGACAGTGCTCGGACAGCCCAGAGGCCTCTAGGGGACAGCGCCCCCTTGCCGGCCGCGGACGTTCCCACTACAGCCCCCAGCTTCTGGCGCCCGGCCGGCTCAGTTCCGTAGTAGAGAGCGCACGCAGTGGGGCCGCGCCCAGGCACCAGGTTAAGAAGAGGCAAGGGACCCGGGGAGCGCAGAGCCGTCAAGTTGGATTCCAGAGCTCTTTAGCAAAGTTGGAGAAAACAGCGGGGGCGGGCGCAGAGAGGAGACAAGTTGTGATTGTTGTTTCCAATTGTTTAATTTCTTGCGTTTCGTCTGGAGAGAGTGCACGAGACTGAGTCGTCCAGGACCTGGGAGTTAACGGCCTCATGGCTCGATGGGCGCTGCGCTCAGCGTCTGAGCGATCTGCTCACGGGAACCTGGGCTCTTTTGCTCGCTCCATTCCTTCACTTCTTAACTTGCACCCGCGCATTGATTTACCTGGCCAACTTTATGCGAACGTGCCCTGCTGAAGGCGGTGCTAAGAGATGCGGGTCCCTGTGACTCCTCTGCCTCTCTGGTCACTGCGACCTTCAGTGTTCCGGAACTCCGAGTAGATCTCAAGTGTCTCCAAAGCCCGGGGCTCGGAGGGCTGAGCGGGAGGGCCAAGGCTGGCGATTCCCCTCCCCACCCCCCACATCCCCCACATCCCCCTCACCGCGCAACACTTGCTTGGAACCGCCCTGGGCACAGGACTGCAGCCAGTCGTCGGTAGAGGTTCCCCGCGGTGAATCCACAAGCAACTGAACCAAGAAGTCTCGAGTAGGGGCAATGGAGTGGGGTCCGCAGCGGGATGGGATGGGGGTTCCAGCAGATCCCGAAGTGCAGAGTCCGAGCAGCGGTCTGTGTGTGATGCCTCAGGGACACAGTGGACACCGCTCGAGTACCACGCAGCAGACCTGTCTGAACACAGATGCAAGCGAGCCTTACTTTCCTGTGTATATTGCGAGAACTGTGCTCTCTGCTCCCGCAAATTACTTTTGCTTTTTTTCCTTCCTTTTCTTGTCCCTCCATCCCTATCTCCCTGCTTCCCTCCCTACCTCCTTCCCCTTCTTTCTCCTCTCCTCCCCACTTTCCCCCTCTTTCTCTGCTCCTTCCTAGGTCTTTCTTTAGCTCTGTAGTTGAACATGCGTTTCCAGGAACACAGGACTTGAAGTCTGAAAGTCCGAGTGTAAATTGCTGCAACTTACTAGCGGTGTCATTTACTTGATCTCAGCCTCGGTTTCTTCATCTGTAAAATGGGGACAAAATCAGGATGACAGATACAGTAGTTGTGAAATCACCTCCTATAAAGAACTGTGAAATGTTACAATGAATGGATGACATTCTAAATAAAATTAATAGGGTCGGGCCTTCAAAACGCTCCCCCTCAAGGAGCAGGAGTTTTCCTTATTCTATTCCAAACCTAAGAATTCTGGCGACTCTAGGAGAAGGGGAAGGAGGGGGATCAGGCGCCGATCCCTGCTCTGATGGGGAGCTCCCACACCAGAGCTCAGCATCTGGACCAAGCAGAGCCCTGCGCTGGTGGAACCCCAGCCACCAGCTTTCATCTCTGCAATGGTTTTACATATGTGTTTGCTGGTACATTTCATCCCTCACACCAGGTGGGAGGTTGAAATCATCATCACCATCATCTTTGCTCACACTAATTTATGAACTTGATTGACAGACAGTCTTTGTAAAGGTCATTGGCTGACTCATCTGGGCCTCTACACAAACCGTCTTGGAAGTGGGCAGCCCGAGTGGTGTCATTAAGCCCTTTCCCCGATGACACAGGAGAGACCGCAGCTTGCAGGGGGCAGAGCAGAGACGTGAACGCACATCCCTTGCCTTCGTGCCTTTGTTCCCTGGTTGCAGGGCTCCCCGGGGTCAGCTCCCCGCTTCCCACCCTCAGCAGAGCCCCAGGCCCGAGAGAAGGGCTTCTAACCTGCTGCCGTGTCTCCCGCTGTCCTTGTGCCCTCTCTAGTTTGGTCCCTCCAAGTTCCACCAGAGCTTTCCTCATCCAAAGGGTGTTTGAAGTTCAAGGAAATGTGAAAAGCAAATGAGCAAACCCTGTTGGCCATGGGTGAGGTGCATGCTGGAGAGCCAAGAAACCTGCCCAGGCCTGCCGGCTCCCTCTCCCCCCACTCCTCACGCCTGGTCCAGCAACAAGAAACCCTGACTTCCCCCTAAGCAGCTGTACTCAGAGTTGCTCTTTTCTAACCCAGAGGAATCTCTTCATAGTCATTTAGGAGAAATTCATCAAGGTCCCTAATTTAGAATCATTTGGGTAGGTGGGATTAAACCACACAGCATGGATTTAAGATGAACTTGTAGGCTTACTGAGTGGCCTGGAAGTAGGCAGAGCACAATGAAACCCAGACAGAGCTTCACTGCATCTGAGGTTTAACTGCTTTTCCACGGGGCACTAGGGAAAGTGGACTAGGGTTTCTAAACTGCATTGTTCCTGAATGTGGGCAGTGTAGACCTCTTGCCAGTATCAAAACCCCTTTGTAAGAAGGACTTAATACTAACAAAACACTGGGGTACAGAAGCCCAAGTTTTCTTGGGATGGCCCAGGTCATACTTCCCATGCACAAGAGAATCCCCCCTTCTACATAAAAGTGCTCATGTCTGGTTAATCGTGTCTGCCAACAAATGGTGGGAAGAACCCTGACTTGGAGCCAGAAGACGTAAGTCCAGTCCCATCGGCTACTACTGGCTGAACACATTCGATCCAGTCA